GTAAAATAACACTGTTGTGCTTTGACAAAGTGACAGTTTATTGCTTATTAAGAACTATAATTCGGTTTCTGAATTAAGGTGTTCTTTAAATAAAAACAATTGTCTTGATACATGTTCATAATTTTTTTTTTTGCAATAAAATATAAAAAAAAATTTTTTTTCTTATTTAGCTTTAATTTTGTCATTATATTTGTTACGAAAAACTATGGGATACATTTCTGAAGATAAAAGATAATTGCGGACAGTTGCTGACGCAGATGCTGACAATTTGCATGCTGACAATTTGCTTATGTTTCATGCATTTCTTCCTCTTTTTTTTTTTTTGCATTTTATCTATAAATATTAATTTGTAAACTTTTCGATTGAAACTGTGTAAGAAAAAAATGCTTTTTCAACTAATATTTTCTACAGTTTTATCTGCTCTTAAAGGTTCAAATACGTACTTTCAGTTTGCATTAGAATGTGTGAAATTTATAACAGATTTTGCAACTTTAATACAGAAAAGTTTATAATTGTTTTGTCAGTGTTGTCATCAAAAAAAAAAACTTTTTAACGTAAAAGGGTTAATAAAATTATTTCAACAATTTTTTGTTACGTTCGACTTTTGTTGTTCGTTGCCGATAGTTCTCGCCGCAGATAATAGCATCTTTTTCCTGAGCTTTAACTTGAAAATATAGTTCCTGTAAGTTAGTGGTTATACGAAGATTAATTCATGTTTCAGTCTTAAAATTTTCAAAAAAGAAAAAAGTATGAGCAAGAAAAAAGAAAGAGTCATATGGAATACATTTTCGTAAACATTTCACTTTTTTCTCTCTGTCGTCTCCCTCTGAAAATTAAACAGAATTTAGAGAAACAACAAATCCTTTGATTAGTTTGTAAAAAAAAAAAAGTAAAAAAGAAAGAAAATGAATTTTTTTCACTAGTTTAATAATTACGAAAGAAAATGTCATTTCAAATTTAGTCTTTAAGCAATGATTAGAAGTAACAGAATGGAAAAAACTGAATGAAGTTAGCTTGTTTTAGTAGGGAAAGAAAGTTTTGTAGCACCAAACTGTTATTTTTTTGTTTGTAAAAAAAACTAGACAAAATTCAGAAGGAGGATATGATTCTTTCCGTTTTCCTACAATTTCTGTGAGCCAAACTTTGAAGGTATAATTAGTCACCGAAATTTAGTTGAAATTATCTATGATACTATGGTTTCTGAATAGCGCCTGGAGTTGTGCCCCGTATTTTAACAGTATATCAGTTCCTAATAATACGTAATGAATAAGCGTATAATCTGACGTTTTCATAGTTATTCCAAAAAATACTGTGATCAGAATATATAAAACAAAAAATAGTGACTTTTTTAAATATATATAACAAGCAGCAGTAAAAAAGAGCAAAAAATAGTGTTAAATTTAGCTGTAATTTGTAATGAAAAAAAAAAAAAACAGAAAGTGACATACCAACAATGATAAATCAAAGCTTAAAGTATACGAGAAATTTTAAATTATAGCTAATAATTTAAAGTTTAGGTACTGGTTCAAGTATGTTTTGAAACTAAACTGTCAGTAATTTGGTGCAATAGTTTCTTTTTTTTTTTCTTTTTGGAGAAAATTAATGTCTTGTTAACACCAGTAAGACAGTTCATCAATATGATCAAACTACGGAATCTTTTATGTTCTTAAAACCTCAATTTGATTTAGATTTTGACGTTTTGACGAGACAAAGAGTTAAAAATTTACTTGTTTTTTTTTCCTGTTTTTTGTTTCAGTTAATGAAACTTTTACAATAAAAAGATCAAAATTTATTGCTTAAAGTAACTGTATTCATTGGCTTCTATATACTTAATTCGGGTTTCTTTTTTGTGTATATTGTAGATAAACGGTATTTACTAAGGATTACGATACCGTTAATGTTAAAAATTAATAGCAGATCATAAATGCAGAAAATGTTTGCTGCGAATACTGCAGGAAAATGTTTCGGTGATGTTCAAAATATTTTTTAAGGCAAACAACAAAAGCTGTTCATTTTACTACGGAAAACGTCAACAACACCAATAGCAGTATCAAAAAACAACGTCACCTCTTGCGGTGATGAGATTGAAAAAAAAAAAAGAAAACAGCAAAAAAGACGACACCAGCAATTAGTTATATCCTTTCTGTTGATATTCCCTGCAGCTTACCGGTTTCGTTTAGCAACAGTTCAATAATGCTGAAAAAAAATTGAAACTGAAACAAAAACTGTGCATTGCAACATCCGTTATCCCCAAAAACGTTTGTTCTCGATCGCACTTATCAGCTGTTTCCGGATGGGAATATGTATGCAGTAAAAAAAAAGAAAAGAAGAAAAAAATCATTTGAAACTCTGAAATAAAAAAGAATTTGTGAAATTACTAACAGCAGGTCATCGAATTCTATTCCTGAAAAATATTCAAATCTGTCAACTTACTTAACAGCCATACGGGTAGTGTACCCAAACGAAACGATCACAGTAATCAAACGTCTATTTGAAGGATAAAATCAGGAAGAAAAAAAACAAAAGCAAAAAAGATTTACGATGAATCGCTAAAAAGAACTTGCGGTATTATTGTATTAAAGAAAATTGTATTGAAAAATTGTATTTATTGTATTAAAAAAAAAGAAGCAAAAAACAGAGCAAAAAAAAGAAAAATTTTACCATATTTTAGTTGTTAAATTATCGTAGCAGTAGTTTTTTCTTGTTGAACAAAGAAGGAAAAACTTCCGCTTACGGTTGCAAACGATCATAAAGTTGTATTTATTCTCAAATGACTATATCAGTTTTTAAACAAATCAATCAACACATCTTCTTTCTCTTTTTTGTTTTCTGTATTTAATTGATGAATTATTAAGAACAAAAAAGCTGCTCTGTTGCTCTAAAATTTTACTGCAGTATGTTCATTAAATTTACCTTTTTCTTTAAAAAATTTGCTTGTTTAAACAAGCCAAGTACCCCGCTTCCCCCCGTCCTCCCACCCCAACAAAACACAAATAAAGATGTATTCTGCTGCATTAATTTGGCGATGACAGTTTCCAGAACCTGAATAGATGTTTGCTGTGATCAGATAACTGTTAGTTGTGAATCGCCCTTAACAAATTGTGCACTCAAGCACAGGGTGATCATCGTTTCCAATATCTTCGTCAGGTATTCGTCGCCGACATACAGTCGTAACTGTACTCAGTTTTAAGCTGCAGCCAAATAAACTGAAAACCTGAAGCGGTGTATCTGTCTAAAAAGTAAGAAGACGTTTTATTTGGAAAGTCATACTTAAATAGACTGACTTCACACTTCATTATATAGTTGAAGTTTTAAAAATTGTATCTATAAATTGGTTCAGTGAAGGCGAGGGGGGTGGGGAAAGAAGAAGAAGAGAAGAAAAAAATTACAGAAAAATAAGAATTTCTCTTTTGTTTAATAGAAGTTGTCAGTAATAGGTAAAGCAATGAACTGTTTTGTATTTGCAACAATCTTTTTATTTGAACTTTTTTTTCTCTCTTTTTTTCTTTCTTTTTTCTTTTATTCGTTTGTTTGTTGAAATTACTTTCAAATAAAGTCTTCTGGAAAACTGTTGCTTCCGGTTTTTCAGTGTTATGTTATGTGGCAATTTGCTTCAGTATCTTCACTACCAATTTACTTCAGTTATCATTTCACTTTTTGATCACCGGTTACCCACCACTACTTTTTACTGTACTGACACATATTTTTTTGTTGTTTTGTAGTATATACGTCTTTTTCTTTCTGTTTTTTTAAAATAAATAACCTGCCCAGATCAATAGACCTTACAAACATCACTTAAAGTAGCCAGCAAAGGTGATTAAGCAGTGATCTATTCTTTGTCGTCGTATGCAAGACAGAAACTTGAAGCATGTTATTCGTTACAGTTTTCAGTGTAATCCTGATTTGCATATCTATCTAGTTTTAAAAATAAGACATTTTGAGCTGCAATATCCTTGGAAAAGCTTCTTTTCAATCGTGTCATAAATATAACAGAGTTTTCGCCTTGCTAATACACTTCAGGTTAGAATTGTATTTCTTTTTTGTATTGATCTGGGACCACTTCTGTTTGATAAAAATTAGAAGTTTCTAAGACTGTACAAAAAAAGTAGTCTAGAGAAAAGACTTGATGAAAAGACAAAAAGAAAAATCATATATTAAATGATAGAGTGAAGACAGCGGTACCGTAATAAATTCTGTAAATTTCTGTTTGTTCGTTAATTATGTAAGCATTCAAGCGTTTGTTGGTACAGGGCAACCCGAAATCCGAATATCGTTAATTACACTAATACTTAATTTTAATTCCTATATACATTACTTGTCAAAAAATTTAAATTATAGTAGGACTGCTGACTATTCAACAAGCCTCGTTTTGCTACTTTACCAGGAAATTTTGATGTTAATATGACTTGGCGCTTTAAGATACGGTGCCGTCTAGAAGAATAATCGTGCAAAAGACGCATCTTTACTGGTTTAGTAATAGTATTTAAAATTCCTTTTGGAAGAAAAAAAATCTGCAATTGCTGAATGGCATTTACTGTTTGTTTGAAATTTTTAGTAAAAATAGAAGTGAAGCAATAATGAGTTTTTCTCACTCATTATTGACAAAAAAAAAAAAAAAAAAAAAAAAAAA